TTTCATCGACCGCTGTGTCTGTAGTTGGACGACTAGATCTGATGGAGACCTGAATATAGGTTCCGAGAAACCCTCTCCACACTTAAATGCCGAGAACAGGAGAAAATAGTGGATACATTTAATGACCGTACTCGTTGCTCTCTTTCTCTGACCTCAACATACCAACACCAGTTTCCTCATTTCCCCCTCTCTCCGTCGCCAAACTGGATATGTCTACGCCTGACGATTTGCCTTGGCCCGAACTGGGCAACGTGTCTCGTGGTGCCACTCGAGGCAATCAGGGTCAGAAGGGTGTTTTAGGGAATGGCGATAGAGAGGGAAGATGTGTGCTGCAATTACGAGTCAACCTGGCGTCCTCGCCGTGCGTTTAAACCGACAAGCTAGCGACTGGTACCGCACGCTCGATAACGAAGTAAACCGCGCCCTCAAGATGACGAAAACTTACTGGCGCAAAGCGCGAAGACGCCAGGATTACGACGCACGAGCGGATCAGGACCACATGGAACTTCACGAATGGCTGCAGCAACTGAAAGACAAGACGATGTCCCATCTAGAATTGCTCATGCAAAAGGGCGACATTCAAGGCCCCCCATATCTCATGCCGGACGACATTGAACTGACGTTCCTCCGAAAATTTATCGAGCGACAAGCGTCTGGCATCCCGCACAACCCTCGCCTACGAAATCAAGTGGGGGGAGGAGAACCATCGTACACTCACCGCGACCACTCCGCCGACTCCTTCACCCCCGAACCCTCAGAGCAAAATTTCCTAGACCAGAATGGCAGGCCCTTAAATGGTACTTTTTGTCCCGCGCTGCTCGAATTGTGTGCTCATCTATCATCTATTGCGTCCTTTGAGCAGATGATCCGGGTGCTCACTTATCGAGTTCTAGAAATTCGAATTCTCCCTCATTCAGGACGCCTGAGGGCCTCGCGGCCGAAGCCAATTCATCAAGTGAGATAAGAATCATTTTCGCCGCTTCGTTTACTCAATTTGGATTTTCCAGAGCAAGCGCTCCAAGCAGCACGTGCATCATTACTGCGAGCGCAAAAAGACACTCAAGACGCCTTCATGAGGTACACATCTTGCATGGACATTGAGCGACAGGCCCGTCAGGCGGTTGCCAGTGCTGAGAAACGCGCGACGAAATCAGTAAGCTAATTTATCATTTCAGAACATGGTTATCAATCGCTGACAGCATCATCGTCTCCGAACGCTATAGTGGCCGTTCTACTATCCAGAACCAGCTGACATTGGGTATGCAGCATATAATTCTATCTTACCATTGACGCTTACGCTGTGCTTTCTCAGATACGAGGTCGAGAAAATCATCAATATCTGGAGACGATCGACGCAGTCCGCCGAGGTATCCGATGGAGGTTTGTTTCATCCCTTTCCGTCGCATCTCTTCCGACACTCACGAATCATATAACATTCAGGAGGTACGAAACCCTGTTGATCCATTTATGAATGCACGGGTGCCACAGAAAGCTATGGAGTGGCCCACGGACGGTCAAAGTTTATATAGCAACGAGACCGTGGCGCACATGGAGGTACGAATTGATCTCTCCGGGAAGACGGTGCTTTATTCAAAATATTGCACCTTTGTACAGGACGGGTCTGGCAGAACACGCAAACACTCGCGAACCTGGGAACACCCTTCTCAATTGCATGGTGAGATTCGTTTTAAGGTGGTCAGTCTTTGATCGAAATCTAATTGAATTTCCAGACTCCAACGGCTATGGTTGCGAAGTACCAGTTGGTGCTCCGGATTACATGGAATACCGTTCTGAGCGTCAGTACAACCCTCAGGATATGTCGGGCCTTCCTCCCCGAAAGCGAATTCATCATGCTATGATCCCTGGATTTGATGTAATGAACGGCGCACCTCTGCAGACTCAGAATATGACGCTGCAGTCATGACCACATGTCTATTCCCTCCCGCCCTCCACTTATAACACATTCTTTTCTTTACGATTATACCACATGTTTCCACTCTTGTATATCCACGTTCTTTTATCTTAGATGATCTATTTGCTCTTTTTCATGTTGTATATTCTACATTGTTGACGTAATTATTAATAACACCGTTAGCTTGTGAGGCCATAATGGCTGTTAATTCTCGATGTCAGATGTGAAAGAACAAATCATAATTATCATATGAACTACCTCAGTAGGAGTTCCATGCCCATGTAGGACTGACACTTCCTCTTTACGACTGATCAAAGAAACAGGATCTGGAAAGCGAAAACCTGACGCATACTGGCGCCTATTATATGAAGACTGCATGATTGAATGGTTCCGTTTTCAGCAAAGTAAGTAAGTCGTGACAGGCGATCAAACCGCTATTCCATCATCATTCCATCGTTTCAGTGGACTGATAGCATGTCAGAGTTGCATTTGATGTGGTTCTTCTTGAGACCGATTCGTTCTGCCTGTGAAAGGAAAAGAAACCAAATCGAGTCGCGGAAAGGTGTCAGAAATATGATTTATCGTTGTATTTCAATCCGTTTGAGACTTTCCAATGTTACACTTACATCGCTAGGAGACGAAGTTTCACTCTGTCGCAAGGTCGTAGCTCATAGTTATTTTAAGATCGTGATCAAACCCGAATGCAAAGCGCTTCTTGTTGTGAGGTTTGCGATATTTTTAGCATATGACCAGCCTTGATGAGAAATAAAGGTCCATGGAATCTATGTATTTCAACTCAAATGTTGCATATTTCTCTTCTTCTTCTTTCCCGACGACTAGCGCTTTGCAAGGCGCCGAGCTAGCTGTAAAATCGATGGGAGAGGCCCATCTGCCAAATTTCAATCACTCGAAAGGTTGGTAAATCTACCACTTCCAATTTAGCAGGGCCATAGGCTAGTCCCCAAAATTCTATCAACGGCGCTGGAGAGGGTCTCTTCAGAAATACTCGCTTGACGGAAATACCCATTTCGCCGAGTTCTGTTTGGGCGCTGATATGACTGTCCTTGCACAGCCATCAGTTCGCACAGTTTCCTGATGGATCGATTATGTCCTGCTGAGCTTTCAGCTCACATATCGGCATGTTCGCATTGAATTTGATGTTCTCAGAACATTGGGAGGTTCTTGGGAGGTTATCGGAAGTCGGGTCATCCTGAAAGCACCCGGCACCCAGAGCCCGTAGTCGTTATCATGCATGACCCTTAAAGTCGTGTGTTGCTCGCTCCTGCTCACAATTTATATTGGCATGGAACGTTATCTTGCACACCAGGCTCTAATTTGCCTTTGAGAGAGATATCAAATACGTGTGACTCGTGGGTTATTTACCAGAACCCATGAGACTCTGGACGGAGTGTACGTACAGTGAATCTCGATACAGTATCATCAGATAGATATCAGTCTAAATATCGTGGAATTATCCCATATACTCGTTCATGCTTAGGCGTGGGCGAACGGCCGCGCGATTGGGTGATGTAGATTACTGTTCCGCTGGTTTTGCCCAGCTTGAGGCATTCTCAACCTGAGGGTTATAGCAGTTATTTATATGACATCATTTCATGAGATATGTACGTTCAATGTATAGATCATACGAAGCAATTAGACTAACTCGTCAGTCCTTCAGTCCTTCAGTCCTTCAACTTCAGCCCTTAAACTCCTAAATGTTGAGCTCGCAACTTGTTCACGAACCGAGTGAGAAAGCTTGGCAGAAGCCGAGCGGCGCCTATACGGCAGGCGCGGGAAAAGGCCGGGCGGACTTTGAATTAGTATGTCAGGAGGCTTTTGCCAAGCACGCCTACATATGGTTACACAGGTACTCATTAACCAAAAACGGAACAAGTGATCACAAAGAAGACTACCGTCATCAATCGGCCCTTGGAATTCCTCGTCTTTGGGATTTCCATGTCAGCTACAAAAGGAGACGCCGCAAAAAAGAACACTAAAATTAATAGGAAACCCAGGTGAAACTGACTGTATTTCGACGTCTGGATCATTGATTTTCTCTTTCTATTTGACAGCGCTTATCTGCCGTGGGATGAGCATGTGTCCAGGATTGAGGATGCCACACTGGCCTTCGCTCTTCGGCGGGTACAAGAGCAGTCCGACGGTCGGCATGGGCCTCTTTCTCATCATATCTCGGGATTTTAGGTGGATGCCCCTTTCTCATGATCATGGCAGTCAAATCTAGGGTTTGCGCGTCGGGCACACGAACGAAAAGACAAGCTTCTGTGCATGCAGTTATATTTATTATTTCTGCGAACAATCACTCTGGTCTCTCGGCCTTCTGTAGTTCCATTTTAGATTTTTTAATAGCAGGATCTCCGTGTTATCTTTATACTGCACTTTGCAGAAGCAATTACGTGCGTGTGCTGCGGGTATTTTGTAAATTTCCCTGCAAGATTGCCAGCTGGGACCCTCATGTGCAGGCAAGCTTTCGAGATCCGGTTCCAATCAGGTCTTACAACAGGATCATACAGCGAAAAGAGTCAGAAAGAAGGGTCTTTGGCTTAGTATGTTATTTGGGACATGTATTCCTTCTTTCTTCTGATTTATAGGACATGAGATTCCCGCGATGTTGTTTTCTCCGGGATTTTGCGACGAATGAATGCCTTCTGGTCGCTGAAATCCACACACCTGGCCGAGAGACCTGTAACGAGCCTCGGAAATGACCTGCAGAAGATCCAAAATGTGAGAAGTTGTTCTCAAGATATTGAAACAGTGGGCTGAAATTTCCGAGAAATTCTGGCTGAGCCGCTGAGGTGCCCAGACATCGATCATTATTCAGACAGTGGCCGTTGACGCGCTGACGTGAAGCAGCCCGGAGAACGATATGTTACGCGCCACATGTCGCAAGTTTTGCACCCCAACTGCAACCTGTCTGATGCGATGATATTAATTATATGTATCGTATGTTATGGCGCAGCTACCAGGTAACCGAACAGTTTCTGAACTCCAGTGCGTGCATAGCACGATGACTTCGGCATGATATAGTTACCTGCGGTGGCTGGGATTTCATGACGACTCGAAGAAAGCGTGCCCCATGGCTGAGTTGGTTACAGCGTCCGACTGTTACCGTGTGGTATGCGACATCGGAAGGTCGTGAGTTCGAAACTCACTGGGGCAGTCATTTTTGCTCTCTAGACCTCGATGTCTGCGTAGGCGATATCGAGAGATCAAAACTGGAGACTTGGGCAAATTATTTTTCATCTCAATTCTTTGCATTTTTTTTGGCAGACAGGTCCTCGAATTCGATCGAGCCTCGCGGACAGCTTGTAGATCTGGTGCAGTTTGGTAAGAAATGTACGTCTACCGTCGTATGTAGCCAATGCCTTGGAGATATCTTATGGGCCAAATTAATTGATACTTGCATGTCAAGATGATGAACAACCTTACGTGAGGCGGCGTTGACACTGTGTCGAAATTGCGAGTTGGCAGCATGTTTTCAATGAAATTGAGCCCTGCCCATTTCATCCGTTAAGGCAATTTACTATAAGAGGGAGGTGTGTCACAAATGAGGAGAGGAGAATATGCCGTATGTCGGTACCTTTTTGGAATTGGCTTGAACCCGTAACGCGACTCCCAAGGTCCCTTCGGGATGGGGGGTGATCGGAACCACGGGAGATTCATCCAAATTTTGTAGAGCCATGCCTTCAGCCGTTGCCAGAGGGATTCTTTTGGGCGCTGTTGGGGACGCGGTGGTACTTCAGGAGGCACCAGCCGGACGCTCTTTGCAGTAGACATGAGTGTATTGTGGTTAGTGAAACAGCTCTTTCAGACCCTTGAGCCCCTTCCCTCTGACTTTGTTTCGTTCGATCCAGACTTCCGCACATGACGTAGTAGGGATCTGAGGTTACCTCGATCGATCCTGCAAAGTTGTGCATTCAAATTACCAGGCCACCATTGGGCCACCATGAGCATGTAGGCGAGCAAGACCTGACAATAGCTGGAAGGGCTTACGGTCCATATATGAATTATGGTCTCAAGTACGTGGTATAATCAATGCATACTGTGGTCATAATTGTAGAGTAATTAGAACTTGTACCATCCTGAACAGATGCATACTTCAAGAATATTGGAGAATTTTCGTCAATACCACACAAGAGCGATGAGAAATGGCTAGTGAATAGGTTCGCTCTAGGTGGATAATAGTTTAACAAGGAAGTTAACTTCACAGAACTCTTGATTTCTGCAGGCAGGCAGACATTGACGCCGCACTGGAAGCGAATGAATATTCTTCCAAGATTGCCCGCTCTTTCATTTCTATAGCACAAGGTATTCCATATCCCCGTCTTCAAAGGCCAGTTGAGAGGTGGTATGCAACCACTGATGGCAGGCTTTACTTATTGCCTCATAAAGACTATTTGCACAATGGACGGCTGCAAGAAACCAATGGCACCTTGAGTAGTATAAATGAACAGATGCGTGAAATATGTTTGAAACAAGTAGGAAAACAATACATAGCTCGATGTGCAATGATCGGACAGGATGGGGAGAGCAGGGTATAAAGCGGTAGTATATAAAATGATTATAAGGATTCTAGTTCAAAAATCCGCGACACTTGGTAGAGCCACAGAGACACGGGATTTTGTCCTGCTCGAAAGGGAAGTGGTAATCTGTCCAGCAAAACTATAATTAGTACAAAGGATATGGACAGGAAAAATGAAGAGTAGCGCACCGTAGGTGATTTCGTCACCCAGCTCGATATCTTGCTTGGCATAGATGACGATCTTTTTCTCTCCGCTAATCGTAATGATTTTCGCCGTGCAGTTGGGATCGCAAGAGTGATTGATCAGACGGCTGGATGTGTGTGATAAGAAAGATGGTGAGCAACAAGCCTAAACAGCTGGCAGAACACACGCACCCAAGATTGCCCTTCTTCGTGGCATCCACCACCAGGTCCTCGTCAATGCGGAACAGATAGCTACTACCAATGCCTTGGCGCTCATATGCCTTCTCCCGCTTGTCCGCGACCTGCGCCCGGATCACTTCACCGACATACTCAATTACCATCTCCCCACGCGAGATCTTCTCCATCGCATACAAGCCCCAGTCGTGGATCGGCGAGCGCGCAAAGCGTAGGTGCTTTTTCCGCGTCTGCAGTTGGTTGAACTTGAATGTCAGTTCGCTCGCCGCGGTCTCGCCCTTCGACAGCGCCACCGCCCGCTGCACCTGGTTGATTTCCTCTAGGCCCTGTGCACGGCGCCGTGCGTTCGCACGATTGGATCTCGACGACGTGACATGCTGCATCGGAGCTTCATCGATGATGGGGGGCGCCGCACCGGCGGTCGCAGCCCGCGCTTGGTACTGTGCGACATAGGCGGCCTTTTCTGCATGTGTGATCTTGTAGTACCCTTCTGTTCTGGCGCTACAAGTGAGATGCTTGCGGAAAGTAGGTACGTCGGATGAGGAGGGGGGCGCTGACGGCTTCTCATCGTTGGGTATCTCGCCAGCGAGGGCGAGCTTGGCGAAGTAGAGGTCCTCGTCATCCTCGCAGAGGCCCAGTTCCACAGGATCCGGAGGTGGCGAAGGCGCAGGCGGCGGAGGGGGTGTAGGAGCACGTCTCTTCCTCTTGGGTTGCGGGGAGGGCGAGCGAGACGGTGTCGCGGATGATCCATCGATGGTCGAGGCTAGATGGAGCTTGGTGACTGCAAGTGATGCGAACCTCTCTGTATCCGTGAAGAGAATATCTTCGACCATCTCTGTGTGCTTCGCTGTGCCCTTCTTGCCTTTAGCCTTCTTCGCTTGTTTGCCCTTGCCACTGGCAATTTCGTGGATTTTGTGCTTCTTCTTGACAGGCTCGTCCTCTTCCTCGCGGTCTTCTGATACGGCGCGCTTGCGGGCTGCGATGTCGGCGTTGATAGCTGCGACTCGGGCAACGTCGGACTCGTCTTCATCTTCCGACTCGATATCCTCGTCGTCAATGACCCTCCGCTGAGTCTTCACTACCTCCATCTTGCGTTTCTTCTTCGGCCTCTCAACTTCTTCTTCCTCGTCCTCCTGCTCAAGCTCCATCTCTGCCTCGACTTCAGCCTCTTCTTTCTCTTCCACATCCATCTCGTCCAATTCTTCTTTCTCCTGCTCCACAACCTCTTTCTTTTTCTTGAATGAAAGCCCCTTTAGCCCTTTCTTCTCCAGCGGACGCGCTTGTTCTTTTTGGATTGCACTAGCATTCGCGCCTTTACTGCGCTCCTCAACGACGAGCTTCTTCAAATCCTGCCCAACCAAGCGGTCGGAAATGTCCTTGCCCAACAGGACGCGGAGCTCCCTGATAACTATCTCCTGCGCGGCGGCGACAAGCTCATCTGCGTCCCAGTGTGTCTTCTCAATCACCGGCTCGTAGACGGGCGGCGGATGCACAGTGAGAGTTACCGACTGGAATCCGAGCTGTTTTGAACCAAGTAGGGCAGTGGCGCGGTGGGCCACGCCGGCCTTCGGGAAGGTCACATAAAGGCCAGTGTGGTCGCGGAGGACCTGAAGAACACAAGGAGCACAAAGACACGTTGTGAGTATGCAGATCTGCACGACAAGGGGAGGGATTCTATGATCAGGATCCAGAAACTCACTTTATCAATGACAAAGCCATCAAAGAAAGCCTGCACGTCCTCATCCTTGACCGACGCTACGAGCTGCACCCCGCCTTGGACCTTCACATGATCGTTCCCATTCTCCGCGAGCAGCCTCACCACCTCCATGCGATCCTTCTCCTTCTCCGCAGCCGACCGATTCGCGCCACTCCCAGCGCCACCTGCTCCGCCCATATTCATGCTCTTCGTCCGTCCAATTCCACCGCCGGCAGTGGCAGGGGACGGCGACCGCGAGATGTTCATCGGCGACGCCTGGTACGCGTTGTACTTGACCAGCGTCCGCCCGCGCGCTCCCATCACCCCGCCTGCAGTGGCGCTGCTCGTCTTCGCGGAGGCACGCCGATTACGTTCCCGTGCTTCCGCACGCGCCTTCTCCAGCGCATCAATGATTTTCGGCGGCGGCGGGTCTGGGTCCTGTGCTTTGGTCACTTCTGAAGAGGGCTTTGGAGGGAGGCTGTTCGCCAGGTTTGTTGGCCCGCGCTGAGAGGGTGCAGTGGGTTTCGACTCCGCGGAGGATGGGTGCGGATGCAAATGAGGGGCTTGGGTCGGGCCTTTCCGCGGCGCAGGGCTCTGTATCCCACTGTAAGGCGTCCCCGACGATGCATCCCGATCCCTACTCGCAGGTGTTGCGCCGATGCTTGCACCTGCACCGCTAGGGGTAGGCACTGCAGGCCCTCCGCGTCGTTTATCCTCCCTATCTCTCCTCTTCCGTTCCTCGATCTCCTTCAGCACCGCCTTCAATTTCAGGCCCTCTCCGTCAAATACAACCCTCCACTCTTCTTTCTCACCGCCTTTGGTTGTCTGCACACTAACGCTCAAGCCAGCTGTACGCATCAGCCCGCCCTGGCGCCCGTTCTCTTTTTCCAGACACCGCCGCGCCTCCTCGTGCGTGGGGAATTTGATGAAGAGCACGCCAAGTGCAGATCCATTTTCCTTGTCGATCTGTGGCTCAAACGCGAGCAATGGGCCATATTCCGAGAAGTGACGGCGCAAGGTAGTGGTAGGTGTGAGAGGCGAGATGTTTGTGATTAGCAACGAAGTTGGAGGTGCAGGACCGGTGGAGTTTTCGTCGTACTGTTTGATGAGACGAGGTCAGTACGCAGAATTAAAAATAGATAGTGAATGAATAAGCTTCATGACATAAGCGCTTCTCCACCCTCGCTTCGTACCCCGCATCCTCGAAGATAAAAAAGGAACAACCCAACAAAAAAAAAAAGCTTGAAACTGACCTGGAATTTGACAACAACCAGTTCACTCTTCCCACTCCTCAAAGTCATAGGCCTCTTCACACCCTTGTCCTTCCGTGGATCCCGAATGACTGGCGTATCCTCCCGGAATCCACCATCCTCTTCATCCACGGTCTCGCCTTCCATCCGGTAAAGCATCTCCTTGCCTTTGCCCTTGCCTCTGATCCTGTCCTGCATCACTACCGGCGTAGTCGCAGTATGTTTCCTGACATGCTCTATCAGCTGACGGTAGTACGATGGCGGTCGCGTGTTGGGGTAAGTCCCTGGTGGGAGGTACGGCGTGGATGATGATC